CCAGGAAGCCAGGGATGGGTTTTAGAGCAAAGTTTAATTTTTAAATATTTATTTATTGGCAGTGTCGAGAGCTCAAATAAAGACTTTCACACTGAGTTAAATTCCCGGCCCTTTTTGATTTTTATTTTGAGACAGGGTCTCATTAAACCTCTAAGTTTCCCAGGCTGGGCTTGAAGTTGTGATCCTCCTGCCTCAGCCTCCCAGTGTGCTGGGATTGTAGGTGTATACCCCCATGCCTGGACTGCATAGCAAATTTCAGAGCAAAAGGAGACAATTCCTTTATACTTCTATTTCCAGGTCTCACAGTGGGTATGTTGGGAGAGCACGGAGCCATCATCTGTGTGAACTGTGCCAGCTTTATGAAGACACACTCTGGCACTGACTCCCAGTCACTGTCCTCCGTGGTGGCCTTCTTCACCACCGCCTAACATGCTCTGTCTTCACACAGCTCACATCTCCACTGACTTCAGCTTTGGCAAGCAATTATCCTATTAAAGTGAGAGTCACAACTGCCCACCTTCAAATTTCTTATCCCCTTTCCTGCTCTATTTTCCAAAGCGCTTATCACCTTGAAACACACTGTAGCATTGGCTTTCTGCATTTTTTTCTTCCCTCTAATTAGCTCCACAAAGGTAGGAATTTGTATCTCTGTTATTCACTTCTCTGTGCCTATAGCATCCTACAAAAGTGCCTGCCACCCAGTAAACATTCAATATTTTTTTTTTGAGAAAGAGCACCCTTAGATCTCAACAGACATGTGTTCCATCCCAGCATTGCCTCTTCCCTCCCAGTGACCTTGAGCAAGGGTATCTCTTTGTCCACTGCTCCATATCTTCATTTGTGCAACGGAGAAATAACATGACAGTGAGTCTTCACTTGGAGAGTTTTCTCACCCCAAGGAATGAGCAGGATGAGGGAAGGGGGCAGAAGTTTAAGGGCTCTGTGATGCAGAGAGGAAAGAGCTGGAGAAAAACCAAGGGGACAGGAGAAGGAACTGTAAAAGGAAAGGAGGCGCCCAGGGGACACCTAGAAGTCTTGGAGGCGGGGACAGAGGCTGCCTCTATAGATACCTATAGATCCCGTCTCCCTGGGTCTGCACTGGCACACAGAGCAGTAGTGCCCTCTTATGGACTCTACCGCAGCCTACCGGCTGTGGGCTGGTGTTTCCCCTCGCTCCACCAGACCCAGCTCTCACAAAGGCTTCCTGTATACTTCCAGTGTACTTTAGTTGTAACAGCACTGAGCATAGATGTAAGCCCAACACAGACAGCATCTCCTCCTTCAAGAGTCTGCTGCTTCACATCTGTGTTTGGGTTACTGCCTGTGCTACCTCCCCGGGCAGCCTTTCCATGGAGCGTGTGCACTCCTGCTTTGTGCCTGAGTACAGTTCACTTGCCATGGCCATCAGGAGCCTGTGCTGTGAGCGTGGGGTGTCACTGGGAAGCCCCTGGCCCCACGCAGGGCCTGGATCAAGGACAGGATGCCTGGCCATGTCTGTGGAAGAACATCATATCATTTTGCAAACATGGTTCCAAAGTAGAGGGTGCAAACCAGTGAGTATTCATATTTACATGGTTTGCCTGCTGTGGTTTATCTTTAGAAGTTCTTTTTATTTAATTGTCAACATTTAAATGGAAAGATTTCACATAAATATCTGTATTTGTAGATTCCCTAGAAAAAACAGAAGATGCAGTCTTTTGGATCTAGATTCACCTTTCCACCTGTCCAGAACGGAGTAGCTTCTGCTTTTAGATGGGACATGCATTCTCCAGTCACCATGGTCTTTAACAAGCATGCATTACTTATCTGAGCTGCCTGCCTGGCTCCTATAATAACTTTAGTTTGAGACTCATGTAGTTTTCCAGAAAGAGAGAGGCAGCCTTATTAAAATGAAACACAGCCATCAATGTCTGAGCAGAGGAAGGTCTTGGAAAGAGAATCTCCAGAAGAAGAGACTGAAGAGTGATACAGCTTGGTACCAGGGAGGATGTAGTAGAACAGGCACCCTCTGACCTCCTCTCCTGCAGAACTTCCTTTTCAAGATCATCTGCCTAAACATAGCAGTGAGCTCTGTTCTGTGCAACAAAGGAAGATGTGTATCACTGCTAACAACAGAAATAGCATGAAGGTGTGTACCACTTAGTGAGTAACTGGTAAGTGGTGGCTATTCATAACCTCCCTACTAGATAGTATTATTTCCATCGTAAAGGTGAGGAAATCCAGGCTTGTAGGGGATAAATAAGTCAAAGGCTAGAAAGGGGTAATGTCTTTGAGCCCTTGCATCCTTGCTGTATGGCAACTGTGCATAGGAATGGGGGGGAGCTCGAACACCTGCTTCAAATTCAACAGAGTGGAACTTGTATCATTATCATTGGCCTCCTCACTCTGCAGACCAGTGGGTTTTGAAGTATAGTGGCTAAACCAGTGGCATCAGCTTCATCTGGGAACTTGTCAGAAATGCAAGTTCTCAGCTTCCATCCAGACACACGGAGTCAGAAATCTTGGGGGTGGGCCCAGGAATCCATGTCGTAGCAGGCCCTCTGCGTGATACTGAGACTCACACAAGTCTGCACCCACTGGAATAATTACACACACACACTTTACTATCAGGTAGCTGGGTTAGCTAGCCGTAAGGCCACCCAAGTTACCAGCTACACAACTACCTGAGGAGTGGTGGTGCCAAGTTACTATCTCCAGAGCCCAGGTTCTTAATCACCACCCAATACCCTCCTATTGTAATGGGGCCTGACCTGGGCTTCCTGATCCCTGGTAGCTGGTCCAGCATGGTATAGTCCAGGGCTGGAAGGTTGGGAATTCTCTGGCACTTCCAAGAGCCCCCTCATAACTCTGTCTCCTGGTGACCATCACTTCCTGGACGGTCATTCTCATACCACCCATGATCAGCATGCTGAACCCCAGCCTCATCACAGCCTCGTTTCAGGACAGAGTGGGGCAGGGCCTGTGCCAGGAGGCCCCCGATGCCTTCTTTCAAACCAGCCAGAGCTGCGTATTGGTGGCCATCCAGCCCATCACTGCTTATGCCATCTCCCGCCCACACACATATCTGCGGCACCTCTGTTTAGCTTTCCCTAAGGCAAAGAGCTACCTGGTCCACACTGCTCTACCTCATTGCCTTCCAAGGTAGCCATGACGCCCCGTCAACAGCAGTGAGCACAGGCCCAGTGCATGTAGGGACAACTGAACCCAGAAGGACAATGGAAGGTGACAGGAGAATGGGACTGACAGGACACCATGTGTTTACTCTGGTTGCAAGTACCACTGACCTCAGGACGCTAAGAAACAGCATGACTTGCTCGCCTGGGGTGTTGACAGCACTGCAGGGATGCAAATGCAGATTTAACTCCAAAGCTTGTACAGTCGTGCACCACATAACATTTTGGTCAACAATGGGTGGTATTTATAGTGGTGGTCCCATAGGGTTATACACCCTAGTGATATTGTACCCCTTTGAGTTTGTGTAAAACCACACTATAATGTTTTTACATTATCTAACAATGCATCTCTCAGTGTGGATCCTGTCTTGTTCACTTTCTCATAGTTGAGACATAACATCCAAACACCCTCCCCAGAGAAGGAGGGGTTTATTTTGGCTCACAGTTATAATCCATGGTCAGCAGGCTCCAAGGCATAAAATGGCACAGCAGGGGGGCATAACAGAGGAAAAGCTGCTCCTGTGAGGCAGCCAAGGAAGCAGACAGAAGGGAGGAGCCAGAGAAGGAGATACACCCTTCCAGGTCATGCCCCAGGGACCTGCCTTCTCTGCCCAGCTCTGAGTGGACGGATCTACTGAGAATAGTGCCCCCACGACCCAATCACCTTCCAAACACACGAGACTTCGGGGAGGACAATCCAGATATAAACCATCGCACATCCTCATGGGGACTGTGCTCCTTAAGACCTAGGAATTTCTTGGCCACAACAACAAGGCAAAGGAAAGCCCCTCCCTTTGGGAAAGTCAAGATGGAGGCTCTTTCCTTGGACTTTGCCGGTCACTGGAGACGGGCCAAAAGCAGGCCAGAATTTTGCCTCAGGCCACTCAGCTCCCTCTTAGGTTGGCTTATTTGTAGGAAAAGCCCCCTAAGCCTCCTGGAGTTGGGTCTCTGTTCTTCATCCTTTGCAGGGCCTGTGAGTAGGTGGGAGAGGAAGGAGAGCTTGGTTGGGCCCATCTCTCCCTGGGGTTACTATTAGGGATACGTGAGGTCATACTTATGGGCAGCATTCAGGACCCTAGAGTTACAGATTGTATCTAGATATCCCCCAAAGCCTCATGCAGTCATAGGTGGGGCTTTTTCAGAGGTAGCTGGACATAGAGTGTGTGATGCTGGGATTAATGGTTTGTGATTACTAAATTAGTCCACTGATTGGTTTGGCATAGTTCTGAGTGTGGGTAATGGGAAGGCCCACCCTGGGTGTGAGTGCTACCTGCCCTAAGGGCATGTAGCCTCAATAGAATATAAGGGACAGAAAGAGCAGCAAGCAGCAAGAGTGGTCACTTGCTGCTTGTTGGTTTTGCTGCCTTCTGCCTGCCTTAAGCTGCTTTTCCTCTGTGATGCCCCTCTGCCATGCCACCCTGCCTTGGAGCCAGCCAACTATGAACTGAAACCTCCATAAACTGTGAGCTAAAAATAAATCTTTCCTCCTTTAACTTTGGGTGTTGGGTACTTTTTCTCAGCAACAAAAAAGTAACTGAGACACTTGGCTAGACCATGGGATGGTGTTTGCAGCTTCTGCACAAACCTTGGCTTCTCCACATTCTGCCTCTTCTCACCCAAATCATCTCCCAAGACAAGAGCTGAGGCCCTCCCCATTCATCCCTTGGGCTCACCCTAAGTCCTGGCAGCAGTGAGCTAGGACTCAGGAGGGGATGAGGTAAATGCTCACCACCTTTGACCCTTGAGCCTGAGATGTAACCCCACCCCTCGCCCCCAGCTCATTGGTTAGCCCATTGGTTCAGCAAAAAGACAACCACAGAGCCAGCGTGCATCTCTAGTAATGTTTATTGTTCTGCTGAGGGTTCCTGCTGTATCCTGCTCTCCACTTCTCTGCTCTTATCAGAAGTGTCCTACCTTGAAGTCTTCTAGACCCTGCTCCCACCTAGAGATTATAATACACTCAGGAGAGAGCATATATGTGTGTGTACATATGTATGCATACATGCATCTGCATGCACATATACCAATACACATACATATTCTGACTGAACAGTATTTATAAAACAGCCTTAAAAATTCCAATAGTGGCTGGGACCCACCTCACTCCTGTTTTTTCAGCAGAATAAACAATGAAGCACCAGTGTGACTTTGAATGGCATTTAGATTTCCATATGAATAAAGGTGGCCAGTGGATAGGAGAGGTCAAGCTTCAGCTAGTAAAGATGGGCCCTTCTGTCTTGCTGGCCCAGGGCCCAGGCCTCTGCCCCAGAAAGGGGCTGTTAATGTCAGCCCGCTCTCATAGGCAAAAAGAATCGAGGGCACAGATAATGTTTGTCTTCCACTGTGCTTTTGCTTGGCCTCGGAGTGAACTCAACAGCTCTACAGGCATGGCAGTGCATGGCCAAAGGCTAGCCAGAACCCTAGGGAGTGGCAGATAAGGCGTGGAGCCCGAGTTAGAAGAGATGGATCATTGGTCTCTTGAGACTTGAGAAAAGAAGGCTTCCTTTCCTCACATCCCAAGCTAGCCCAAATCGTCACGTGGCCTGTTAGGGCTCATCAGTGCCCACTCTAAATCAGCCTTATAAAAACTGGCATCATAGTTATATAAATAAAACAGTGGTTGGTGTTCCCTCTGTTCTGCCCTCAGTGCACATACACTTCAGTCCCATTTCTGAAAAGCCAGCTCAAGGCTAATGTTGGCCCTCAAGGCAGGGTCAGAACCTCCTGTCCAACCTCAAAAGGGCCTTCACATCAAACAGAGTGGCTTGGCCTCTCAGCCAGGCAGAGAGCTGCTCCCTACCTCCATTTCCCTGCATGCTGGGGGCTGTAAGGGTCTTGGATTGAGTGAGGGTTCATAGGCAGGTGACAGGCAGTGGTGGTTTTCTTGTTACTAACATGGCTTTGTTGTCTTGGGAGCAGAGTCACTGTGGATGCACTACACTGAGGATGCAGGTGAGCAGGTGAAGTACAGATGAGACACCTAAACTCTATCTTCCTGTGTGTGTGCAAAGGAGCATTAGCAGGCAAGAGGGACAAGCAACTGGAGCCACCTGGGTCTGACTCTGACCCTGGCAGCAGTCTCTAGGGGCCTTTCTATTCCTAGTCCTGCTCACACTCTTGGTGCCAGGGGGCCTAGGCAATGCTAGCCTGAGGCTCATAGCTTTGTCTCAGGGCCGGCTGCATGCAGTGTAGGGAAGGAGTCCCGGATCTTGGCCACTTCCATGGCACACAGGTGCCCGAAGACTTTGTTGTACCAGTCAGGAGAACGGCCCCTGGGGAAGCAGAAGAAGCCAGGCATGAGTGGTGGGTTTTTCCCTGGGGCCTTTGCCAGGGAAAGGGAAGACAGGATCCTGCCCACCCCCCAGTATCAACGGCATGGGGCAGAGGCAGAGGAGAGGTCAGGGCCAAGGAGGTGAGGCAGGTCATCCTGGGCCTGGTACCTGAGGTCAGCGCGGCAGATGTGAGTGAGGCGAGAGCGACCCAGGCCGCAGGGCTCCATGAGGTACTGGGAAGTGAGCATGAGGGCCCGCACCCCTGACTCTGGCACCGGCTGCTCGGGATCCAGGGACTGGGAGACAAGCAGGCAACCCCCACGAGGCAGGTCTGAGCGCCACATCCTGTGTGGGAGAGAACACTCATTCAGGTTCCTAGCGCTGGCTCCCGACCCCCCTCTCTGAATCGCCCTAACACAGCAGGGTGGCCTCACCGGAGCACCACGAAGTCGCGGCAAGGGTGGGGTGCCATGCTGTCAGTGACGTAGTGGTACAGCTCCACCCCTGGCATCAGGGCTTCCAGCACCTGGGCCCGCAGTAGGTCCTCATCCCAAAGTGCCCGCTCCCGTAGGACACGCTGTAATACCACAGCTGGCGGGGCTGCTACTTCTGTGGACGCCTTCCACATCCGCAAGGGGTGCTCATCTGGCACCTGCAAGCCACGGCAGTGGGGTCAGGGCAGAGGTCAGGCCTGGAGAACTCCAAGTCAAGGCCTCAAACTTCAGGGTTAGGGACTCCCTTTGCCCCAGCCCAGCAAGGGAAGGCTGTAGGGCTCCTCCACGAACCCTGGCCAGTCCCACACAGTGCCAGCCTGCGTCCCCACCCTCCAAGAAAGAGCATGACCAGTGCCAAGAGAGGCACAGAGAAAAAGCACGTCCAGTCTGAGGCATGGCAGAAAGCTGAAAGGAGGAGAGGCTGATGATATGGAGGCTAAAGGTGGCCTGGGAAATGTCAAGCTTAGGGGCAGACAATTCAAGGGAGCAGGATGGCATAAGCAGAAGCACAAAGGTAGAAATGCAGGTTCAGCTTGACCGGTATAGGGAGAGAAGGTAGCAATGTGTCTGGAATGGGGGTTTCAGAAGACAGATCTGGAAGGTGATCCCTGAGAGAGATCCCTTGGTCTCATTTGGTGGTTCTTCTTCTTTTTTTTTAGGGAAATATTGGAGAAATGGTATACATACATATCACGTCACATATTACATCTTGATCATTTTTACTCCCTGCCCACCCTCCTTGCCCAGATCCCCTTCCCAGCTCCACACACTCCACCTCCTTGTTTCCTACCATTTCTCTTTTAATTTGCTCTTCAAATTATTTATATTTGGGAGCTTCTCATAGTAGAGAAACCATGCAATATTTAACCTTCTGTGTCTGGTTTATTTCCCTTAGTGTTATGATCTCAAAATCCCTATTCTCCAAATATCCAATCCAGGCCCAGAGGGGCTGGCAGAGCAGCTCTTATGGGTGCTTGCTTTGGCTCCTCGGCCCCCTTGCCTGCATCATGCCCTCTCGCAGGTCTGTGGCAGCCATGGGTATGTAGAACCCACCTTCCTGCAAGCCAGCTCTGTGTGCTGGGGCCCCGGCACGCTCGTCCAGCCCTTGAAGCGCTCAGCAGCATCATGCAGCAGCTCCTGCACGCTCTCCTCCATGTAGAGGCTCAGGCTCACCCCAGCAGCCTGTGCCCGCCGCAACTCGGCCAGGGCTGGCCCAGGAGGGCTGAGCTCAGCTGCGCTGTAGGAGCCACACAGTTGCACCACCATGTCCTGGGGCACCTGAGAAGGAATACATATACTAGGCTGGGGGCCTTGGGGAGCAGGAGACCCCGTGGTCTATCAGGTTCATATTCAGGACAGTGAGGTAGACGAAAAACCTCGGGAAGGGGCTGGGGATTTAGCTCAGTGGCAAAAGCGCCTGCCTGGCAAGCGTGAGGTCGTGAGTTCGGTTCCCGGTACCGGAGAAAAACCAAAAAAAAAGAAAAAAAAGAAAAACCTCGGGAAGAAGAGCTGGAAGTGGGTAATCCAGGGGAGTCAAGGTGGGCCCTATTCTTGACTTGGGCTGCAAAGGTCAGGCCCAATGGTTCTTGTGGTCTGACAAGCAGGCACTATGGCCAGGACTGACTCACTTGGAAAAGTTTCTTGCAGTCGCTGATCATGTGCGATAGGCCCTGGGTAGCAGCCATGTTCTCACTCAGGTCCCTAGGGCCTGGCTGGCCAACCCGGCTGCGTTTGCTCTTGATCCTGGAGGGGGAAGGTGAGAGAAGAGGATGACACCACAACACAAGACAAGATGGATGATAGGCTGTCTTCCAGCTCCTAGGAAGCCAGTTTGCCTGTCCTGACCATAAAGCTATCTGCTGACTTTTAGAAAGGCCCTGCTCCACAGTGGCCAACGAGCCCCAGCCCCTGAAGAGTCAGGCTGACCCCTTGTGGTAAGGTCAGAAAATAGCAGTGCCAGCCACCAAAGGCCCAGCGTCTAACGGGGCCAAACCCTCCCGGCCTGGACCTGCCATGCTCTTCCCCAGTTCACCTGGGTGACAGGCTATCCTTCTTGGAGACATTCAGGTGGAAGATGGAGGGGGCCAGGCACACTGCCAGGTTGCCAGCTGTCATCTGGTTTTCCTCAGCAGATGCGATGTCACTTAGGAAGTAGAGAAAGGTCTGCAGCACTTCTCGGTTCTCATCAGGAAGAAGCAATGTGGCGGCCTGTGCTGCTGCCAACCACTGATCCTTGGGGAGGACTGTGAGGAAGAAAGGGAAGAAGGGACTTCCTTACCTCCCCAGAGGCACCAGCAGCAAACCTCCTACCTCCAAGGATGCCCAAGACACAGCAGTCCCCAGGGGAGCCAAGGTCAGCTCTGGGAGGTCTCTGGAGGACTGATCCAGCTCTGCTCCTAATATGCAGGGTCACCATAGCTAAGTCCCTTCCTTGCCTCAGGGTCTCAGTCTACCCTTCCATATAGTGGGTTTGGGGGAGTAGACTGTGGTCTCTCCAAGTGCTTTTCTAAGTGCAGAGAGTAAATGTTCTCCGGAGCTCATGGGTCTAGCCCCCAGGCTCGTCACCCACAAGCCATAAGATTCAGGAAGAGTGTGAATAGGGCAGGTTTGGGGAGAGAGATGCAGGTGACTCACGCTGGTAGATCTGCAGGAAAGTGGTGGTGAGCTTGCTGGTAAAGATGGGTTCAGGCAGGTCCCGGAAATACTGCTTTAGCAGGTCGGCCACATCGTAGGCAGACTGTCCGTCATAGCACACATTGTCAGGGGAGTTTTCATTCATCTGGCGCAAGTTCTGGATCCTGGACTTGACACCAGACTTGCGGAAGATGCCCACCTGGCCAATGCAGAACAGAGACAGAGGGCGACATGGGGGGAGGAGGGAGACTGTGAGCACAGGCCATCCTACAGACTTCAAAGCCTGGTGGGCTTCCTACTGGGCGAGGTGAGAGATAAACGGCAAGACCAAAGCAACGGCTTTTGACAGCTTAGGGGCCAAGGAAAAAGATGGGTTTCTTAGAGAGGAGGAGGAAAAGGTGACCTTAAGCTAAGGCAGGCTCCCAGGAGATGAAGACTATCGAGCCTGGGCCAGAAAGCAACTACCACAGAGGTGGGCTCAAGGCTCCAGCCCTACGAAGGGAAAGGAGCTCTGGCTGCATCCTTGCTTGGCCTTGCTGAGGACAGGAGGTCTCTGGTGGACCGCCCAACCCAGGGGGAAGGCAGGTCGGCTCTGTCCCTCGCCCCTCAGCCTGCGCGTCCTGACCCAGCTCCACCTCTCCACGGCCCCCGTCCCCAGGGCTCACCTGGTCCAGGCACTGGCTGCGCAAGTAGCGCATGGCTTGCTGGATGCTCTGCGGCAGCGGCTGGCCTGTGCGCTGCACGTGGATGAGGGGGGGCACCCCAAATACATGTTGTCCCCGGTAGTCTGGGGTCTTGTTCCTTTTCATGAACTTGGGCACGGACCTGTTTGGAAGAGCGACAAGCAAGAAGGGAGGGAGAGCATATAGAGGCTCTGTCTGTGGTCTCAGGGGGCTGGGGGAATAGGGACGGTGAAGCGGAGAGGAAGACTCCACAGCCCAGAGCCCAGACGCACTGATCGCTCAGAGAGCTCAGCATGAATGAGTCACGGACAGATACAAGGAGCTCAGAGTCTGGTCAAGGAGATAACTGCGTCAACAGGCAGTGACAAATCATGTGGCCAGTGGTCAGCCAAGAACCTAGGGAGACCCATGAGGGCGGGGAACGGTACCCTGAAGGTCGGGGAAGGCTCTAAAGAGGAGGTGGTAACTCAGCAGGCTGCTAAGCGACCAGGAGGCTTCTTCCAGAGAAGAAGCGGGGCAAAGGCATGCCAGGCGGACAGAACGGCATGAACAAAGGCAAAGAGGTAGGAAAAGAGCATGGCACATCCACAGAAGGGCAACGAGTCCCACTTCTGGGTGACACGTGGCTGCCTGAGAGTGGCAGGCCAAAGAGCCAGGAAGCTGAGAGGGGCCAGAATGTGCAGGGATCGTGATGGAAAGGAATCTGGACAAGGGGGAGCCCCAGGGAGTGGGGGTACTTATCTGGAGCATGAAAACCACAGCTACCTTTTTGGACAATTTGACCAATGGCAGAATGAAGGGTAGAAAGAGAAGGAACAGCTGCAGGACCCAGGGTCCTCTCTCCCACCTCCAGCCTCATGTGGCCCCTCCAGCTTCCTGGCAGAGCACACCACCCCACTCATGGCCCTGGGGCTTCTGCCTGCCTGTACCCCCTGGAGCTGCCCATCATGGCCTGGGAGCCACTCACCAGGCCCAGCCCTGCTTGTGGGGCACAGTGTACTTCTCCATGAAGGCGGTGAGCCGCAGCAGCGAGCCCTTGTGCAGGAGGCTGATCTGGCCTGCGAACTGCCGGTTAATCTCCAGCGACTCAGAGTTGAGGCTGGGCCGGTGGGAGTTCTGGAAGCTGTGCCAGCGGAGCTTCCTGGTGGGGTTGAGAGTAGAGAAGCCGGAGAAGCAGATTTGGTGAACACTTAGAAAAGGGTGTTTTCTTTTGGCCTATATATATAGAGTGTTTTCATGTGGCCAGTGGTCAGCCAAGAACCTAGGGAGACCCATGAGGGTGAGGAACTGTACCCAGAAGGTCGGGGAAGGCTATATACATAAATTCACACACACACACACAAAGAAAGAAACCATAGGAGGTAGAACCACTTTCAGTGCTGCTCCTGGGCCCCAGGTAGAAAAAGCTAAGTCTCAGTGCCAGGTCTGCCCAGGGGCCAAGTATCTCTTGAGGAGGAGGGCGTCACCAACCTCAGGCCCACCCATGCCAATTCTCTGTCCATTCCAAACTACTATGGAGGGGCCACTCTAAGACACCTTCAATGGCAACGCTGCAGGGCAGAGACGAGCTCCTCTGACACCCTCACCACGCAGACAAAGGCTCCGAGGCCCAAATGGAAGGGAGGCTTCCACTTTCTCAAGGCCACATCAGGGCAGGTCCTGACCTAGCATTGTAAACTCCCAGGTCTCATACTCTTCTGTTTCTGTCCTGGCATTGGGTGCTTAGAAGTGATCACCCAGCCCCCAAGAACCTGCCCCTGGATCTTGTGACTAAGAAATTGGGCAGCGACAAACAGAGACCCCTGCCCTCACCCTTGCCCCCCAATCTCACCTGCAGGGTCTGGTAAGTGAGGCTCCGACTCCTGAATCACGCCGTTCCAGGGGCACTGATACCTGGAGTACTGCCAGGGGCCCTGCAGCCCCAGCCTCATGCATGGAGTTTCCACTACTGTCAAGTTCACTGGCAGAGGCCACAGTGTCAGAAATGGAATGTGCTTCTTTCACAGACAGGCTGGAGGCAGAGGCAGGTTCCCCACCTGAGTTTGTTTCTTGCTCATAGTCCTGGGGTTCCGCCTCTGCTTGTCCCAGTGGTCTAGCATCTGCTGGGGCCTGAACCAGGACTCCTGGCTGGACTTTTGCCTGGACCTGGGCTGAGAACTCTCCATCAGCTGGAGCCCCTGCTGGGACCAGAGCTTCAGGCTGGTCTTCAACCTCAGCTGTGGCTATTTCTACTGATAAAGTGGCCTCCTTCTCCTCCTCCTCCTCCTCCTCTTCCTCCTCCTCTTCCTCTTCCTTATCTCTAAGCCCCAGTTCAGGGTACATAGCTTGTGACCAGAGCTCTACCCGTTGCTGCAGGCCCCACACGTGCTGGAGGATGTCATCCAGGTGGGCGTAGCTGTTCCCACCCTCCTCCTCTTCTTCAGCTTTGGCCCCATCCAGTATAGGCTCAGCTGGATACAGCTCTGGGAAGTTATCATAGATGCTGGCATGGCTGCCTGTTGAGCCACAGGAGCCCCGGCGTCCTACATAGACCCGGTGCCTACCTGGCTGCCAATCTTCCAGCTGGTGCCCATCCTCCGGACACAGGCTCTCAATGGAAAGAGAGCGAGGGAATGTGCCTGGTTTATGGTCCCTGGGCACATGCACCAGGTAGTTACCCCGGTATACCTGCTGAGGGTGCTGGAATGTGGCCGCAGGCCAAGCCTCCCAGGCCCTCCGAGTCTCACCACCACTGCTACTGGCTGAGGGGGCTGCCCGGTTCTTAGTCTTGTAAAATCCAGCTGAGAGGAAGCCACGGCAACTGCAAAATGATGAGGCTTTCCTGGTCTTCTCCAAGGTGGTTGTGCTATGCTGGAGCTCTGTTTGCCGACTGTTACGCTTTTCCTTCCGTCTCAGAGACTCCAGGTGCTTGAGGAAGCTACGGGTATGGTGCTTCTTGGCTTTGTTCTGGGGACTCACCTGGCCTTGGGTAGGGCTGAGGAGGGACTGGTCACTTGCACTGGGGGCACAGGCTAGCAAAGGCAGGTTCACTTGCTCAGGTGGTAAGCTCACACTGATAGCTGGCAGTGAGGTGGCACTAACCTCAGTGAGGACGCTTTCACAGCTTGAGGTAACTGGCAGGCTGGGGCTTGGTGGGGCCAGCAGGTCAGAAGAGCCCACGGGAGACCAGCGCTTGCTTTCTCGCTGGAAGGCCCAGGGGCTGCTGATGGTGCATTGCTGTTCCTCTTCTGAGTCTTCATTCTGGGGAGGGAATCACAGGGAGGGTCAGAGAGGCCCAGCCCACAAGTTCTAGCTTGGGTTCCACTCTGCCTCCAAACTCCTGGGGGGCTTTGAGGTGAAGGGCCTAGCTTTCTGGTCTGGAAATGCTATAGGAAACCAGGAGTCATAGTCCCAGATATATGGTAAGAGTCACCTAGTTCATCTAACCCCTCATTTTAAAGATGGAGAAAGCGACACCTACGTATGTGACACCATTTGTGCAGTGTCATACAGTCATACACAATGAGTCGGTGTCAGAGCCTCCTGAATGCTCAGGCTGTGATCTTAGAATGACAAGATTACTAGGCTGGAGGGGACATTAGATTTTCTGATTCATCTCCTCCTTGGCAAGGTGAGGAAACTTAGGCCCACAAAGGGGAAGGAGCCTTTCCAAAGTTACTCAGCGGTCAGTGGCAGAGTAGCAACCAGGCCCCAGGGGTCTCGTGCTTCCTACACCAGGGCTCTGGCAACTTGGCTGGCTCACCTGACCGTAGTCCTCTTGGGCAAAGCCCAGAGGAAACCAACAAAATGTGTACCCACAAAACAACAGGGTCAGAAGGCCTACATTCCCCGGACGGCAGAGTTGGAAATGTGCTTGGAGGCTATTAATTCAGCCCCCCAATTCACTGGACGGATGGGCAAAACGAGGCTCAGGAGGTAGGACCACATGAGGACAAGGCTGTGGGGATCTTGACTTCTAAAATAACAGAGGGCATGATCTACTGCATTATTTTGTCCCTGTCATCTATTCAATGGATCGTAACCACTAAAAACCAAGCCGTGGGAGCAGATAGCTTTCCCTGAGGAGCAGCCATCATTAAGTCAAGTCATTGGCAAACCCAGAGGGGAGAGGTGGGCTGAGAGGGGTGGGTGAGGCCACAGCCAGGGCGCTTGTTCTCACACTCTCACCTAGAGATGAGGCTCACCAAAACCCAGGGCCCTCACAGAGCCTGCTACACAGGGGCCTCCTATATCCCCACCCAGGCCATTCTGCTCTGCTCTGGATACTCCGGATTCCTGCAGTATTGCAGCTAGTTTCACGAGTGGTTTATACACGTCATGGGTTTCCTCCACAGGTCAGAGACCCCATCCCTTACCAGGACTCACCTGCTTGCTTTGGAAATGAACCTCCAGCTGCATCGAGGCACAATTGTTCAAGGTCATCAGCCTCCTGCAACAAAATGAAAGTGTGCACCTAAGGGTCCCAAACCCATAGCCTATGAAGATCCTCTCAAGATCCCATCCACTACTTCATAAGGTCAAGCCATGAAAACTTCTCCCCACTGTCCCTGAACACTTCAGTACCCTAAACAGTGCTGAGATTATGGCCTCTTGCCCTCTAGAAGCCTACAGATATGGAAATAAACTACTACAGAACTGCGATGAGTTCAAGAACAGAGTAGACAGAAGGCGCAGGTACAAGAGGGTGGGACCAGGAACTTCCACAAAGAGAGTACAGCGAGAAAAGGTTTCCTGGAAGACAGAAACGGGATTCTGAGGGTGAGAGGAGCAGGACAGGCTGTCACAGGCTTCCACAGGAGCCTGTTACAAGAGAGAGACATGGTCAGAAAACAGACCGGTGGAAAAGGGTGGGTTGAGGCCAATCAGGGACGTCAAGGCAGACGGCAAAGGGCCTCAAGTGTCATGCTAATAAAGCTGTGCAGTTTCACATGCAGACAGTAACACATTTTAAACAGAGCAGCACCCACTTGGAGTTTTAAAAGCTGGTTCAAGTGTCTCTCAAGAGGCTGGATCCCCAGGAAGTAAGAGCAGAATACAAAGACAGTCAGCTAGGAGGATAGTTTGATAGACCAAGAAGTCATGGTTTAGCCTCAGACAAGGACTAAGCTGCCACGAAGTAGAGAGAGAATGAGTCTGAGGATGTTTGCGGAATATGAATTAAGGAGAAAAGAAACAAGTTGAGGTCTGGGGTTTCTAGCTAGCGTGACTGGGTAAGTGAGGCTGTCACAGGCACAGAGAACAGAAGGAACAACGTGACTGAGAAGAAGAGCCTTGCTCATAAACTGGGCTCCTCCTCTGTGAGGAGGTACAGGGGTTGTTTTTCTTTTCCATGGTAGAGTCCCAAGCTTGGCTTTTGGCTTCCAGGGCCTGGCCCTCAGCCCCCTACCTGCACAGGGCCCCGAGAGAGTCGTCGTCCAGAAAACCGTGGTCCTTCTTCACAGAGCCAATGTCCAAGGGAAATGAACCTTCTGTGTGTCAGAGAGAAGGAAAGATGAGTCTGGCTGTAGATCAGAAACTCATTTCCAGCAGCCCTTGGGCTGGAAAGGGGAGGCTAGGGAAAAGAGGAAGCAGGAAGGCTAGAGCTAAAGCAGAAGGGGAAAAGTCAGGTGCACTGGTGGGGACCCGTGGAGCCCAGGGTTGGCAGTGGGGGGAATGCCAGACTGAGAATAGGAGGGTTAAGCTCGACTGAAGGACCCTATTGGTCAGTGAAACAGGTCCACGGGGAACAGCAGGCCTGAAACCTTGGGTGGCTGCCAAGACTCCTCCTGAGTTCTTCTAGTCTCCCTTGACTCCTGGGCTGTTCACACAGGGAACCCCTTCCCTGGCCCAAGGTGAACTGAGGACAGTAGGGAGGAAGCAAGGCTAGAAGGGGCTGCTTGTGGGCAAATAATCCCTCAATTCCCTCTACTGTCCAGAGCAGCAGGAGCCCACTTTCCGGCCTTAGGGAAGGGATAGGAACAAGGAGGAGTTGGGAGAAGACAGAGAATCTGAGCCATGTCACAGCTCTCTGCCTTACTGATAAAACAAGCTCATTCATTCAGTGACCCATTCGACACATACTGACACTATTTCGTGGCAGATGCTGTGCAAGGGGTCAGGTATATAACAGTGAACAAGAAAAAAAAGGCCTCTACTTTCAGGGAGCTTACACTTTATAGGAAATGGATAGTACGCAATATACAAAACTAAGACAATTCGGTCACAAATACAATGAAAGACATCAGCCAGCAAGATGGGATAAAGAGGCTGGCGGAAGTGGGGATAAGGGCTTCTTGGAAAGAGGGGCTCAGCAAAGGCCTTTCTGAAGCAGTGGCTTCGAGCTGAGTCCTGAAAGACGAGAAAAGGCTGACTGGACACTGGAAAGAAGCCACATGTGGTAGCACGCATCTGTAATACCAGCTACTCAGGAGATTGAGGCAGGGGGATCGAGCGTTCAAGGTCAGCCTTGGGCAACTTAACAAGACTGTCCCAAATTTTTTGTAAAAAATTAAAAATTAAATTAAAATAACTAGGGATAGGTCGGTGGTAGAGTGCTTTAGATTCAACTTCCAGTACTACCAAAAAGGAAGGAAAGGAAGGAAGGAAGGAAGGAAGGCAGGCAGGCAGGCAAAAAAGATATGGATAATAAGGAGAAGAGAAGAGAAAGAGAGAAAGAGAGAAAGAGAGAGAGAAAGAGAGAAAGAGAGAAAGAAAGAAAGAAAGAAAGAAAGAAAGAAAGAAAGAAAGAAAGAAGGAAAGAAGGAAAGAAAGAAAGAAAAATGCAATTAGAGAGAGCACATCCAGCAGAAGTAATGCTAGCATCAAGATTCCGAGGGAGGAGCGAGCTGGTGTGAACAAGGAGTAGAAAGAAGCATGGGGTGTAGTGAGCACAGGGGAAGACTCGTAAATGGAAAATGGAAAATGTAGTCTTGACAACCGGAATATAGCATGTGGGCTTATTTCACTGTGAATGTGCTGCAGAGGGCTCAGAGGGCTTGCAGTACAGGACTGACAACCAAATCCCTTGTAGCTGCAGCGTAGAGATGCGAATACAGGAGGGCAAAGGCAGAGGCACAGAGATCAAGGAACAGGGCTGGAGTACTAGTCCAGGCAAGTAGTGAAAGTGGGTCACACAGAATGTGGCAGTGGATGTGGTTAGAAGCACATCCATTTAAGACATTCGAGAAGGAGAAAGGCCTTGCAGAAGGGGTAGGTACAGCAGATAAGGGAAACAAGCAAAGGGTGATTCCTGCAAATGGAGTGTGAGGGGAAGATGATGGTGCCACCGGGAGTTCAGTTTTAGACTTGCTAAACTCAACTTGCCCACTGGACATCAGTGGAGATACGTAACTGGAGGCTGAATAGATGAAGTGGGAGCTTGGGAATGAGGTCTAGACACAGACGTTTGGGAGTCATCAGAGTACAGATGTACTTGGACACGGATCTCATAGGAAGGAAGTATTGAGACAATAGAGGACCCACGGGGGGGGTATCCTAACATTCAGATATCACTTGGAGGGAGCAGAGTCAGCTCAGGAGACTGAGAGCAGCAGAGAGGCTGCAAAGAGAGGGGAGGTGTTCCAGAAACCAACGGAAGGAGTGGCCACCTGCATGTTGGTGAAAGCTGCGGTCAGGATGAAGACTAGGAAGTGAACACTGAATTTGACCACATGGTTAGATTAACAAAGTGAGGGGAGGGTAAAACCAGAGTGTGGTAGAGGTGTGGGAAAAAGAGAGGCAAGGAAATAGCAAATATTAAAAACTCTTAAATCAAAATGAAGAGAAATGAGGCCATCACCGTGGACAAAGTGAGGTCTGGGCTGGACAGGTAGAGTGGATAATTCCAGAATGTATCCTTCACACTGCATCAGTGTGAATGGTTATCCTAGGAGTGCAGTGGCCCTGGGCACGACACGGTCTTTTAAGACATAGCTGACACCAGAGCTTGTGGAACCTGCTGACAACAATCCAGGAAAGAGGTGACAGTGTAGGAGGGAGCAGTTGCAACCAGCAGGAGAGGGTCCGCACAAACGTGAGCAGGTCCAGGACACACAGCTTCTTGTGTGGCTGGAGAAAGGGTCCGATCTGCACGTGTACAAAGGGAGATTTAGAATGGGGGAGGGCAAGGAATGGAGTAGCCTTACCTTCAAAACGCTGAGCATACTGTGGGAATCCTGTAGCTCGGAGCCATTCACAGGCTCTTTTGGCCTCTGCTTCTAGAACAGAATGGGGAAAGAAATAGGCAGACAGTGTGGGGTTAGTAGGGGCTGGTGCCCTCTGGGTACAGGCTGCATCATCGCCACCAGATGGGAACATTAAGTCTGGGTGGTCCAACATGGCAAGGGAAGCACAGAGGGACTGATACCTTTGCTCCAGGGCACACTCAGTGAAAGCACCCTGGGCTGCTCCCTATCCTGGCTACAGTGTTCATGAGCCTCACTCCCTGCCTCGCCCCTCCATGCCACACGTTTGCACCCCCTTCTGGAGGACAGAACTCAACTCCAACAGTAACTCCCAGGATCATCTGGGGTCAAGGAGTAAAGCTGGGCTAAGAAGCCATACCTATGTCCTCTCCCTTAGGATTGCTCAGAGAGCTATTCCCTTCCACTGCCCCAGGCAGAGTGCCTGAGTCTGGCTAGGAGAGAAGAAATACTTAACAATATTTATTCCCTTTCTCATCATCATACTTAATATCCTCCAGTACTTTGATAGCCAGACCTCACTTAATGTACACAGTCATCTACAAAGGTTTCACTAGCCCCAGAGCACAGACACATAAACAGTCTCAGAAAGGAAGAGACGTGTCTACGGTCCTGTAGTTGACAAAGTAGTAGCACTGGGGTTGAAGGCCAAGTTCAGTCGGCCTCCAGTTCCAGCTTCCTGCCCTGTTGACAGCAGCTTCCATAGTGTTCTTCCCTAACCACTCAGCAAGCCCCCCCAGCTCTCCTCTGCGCCTCGGCCGACTAGTGGCACAATCCAGCAAGGAGTGCTGTGCTGCCACAGTGATGGCCTGTGGGAGGCTTGGTGGCCAATAGCAAGGACAACTTCCAGTCTCTGCTCTGGGACTGCACGGCACAAAGCTGGGCCCTGCTGCCAGGCTCAGTGGAGATGTGCAGCTGGACTGAAGCCATGGAAGAGGCCCTCGTGGTCACCAGAACAGGCTGAATACCAGAAGCAAAGCTCTGCGAGTTTCCAGGCAACTGTTTGCTCCCTACCCAGGTGGTGTGAAGGACTGGTGGGGCTGGGACCATGGACTGTGGTCCCATGGACTGTGCATTTGGTAGGAAAAGGCTTCTGGCTTCAACAGAGCTGCTGTGGCCATGGAGTCCTGCCCTCGACTCTTCCTCCATTTCCTTAGTGTCCATGGCCAGTATCCCGCTGGCCCTACTGGCCAGTGGACTCCAAGGAGACTGGTGGGGCTTTTCCAAGACAGGAAGTGTTGTCTCTTTCCAGTGCTCTGTTCATGAGGAAATCCAGAAGAGACTGTGACAGTCGGGACTGGTGAGATAAAGAACTCTTACAACAGTAATTCAGAGACGCTGGGCAAATACACAAGAGAGGAAAGAGTAGAACAAGGCAGAAGGCAGTCAGAAACTATGATAAGGCCCTCACGGATCACATATTGCTAAGGACTGGCATGGAGAAGAGAGAGAAGACAGGGACTGGGCAGACAGTAACTCCTGTGGATTGCCAGGAGTGCACTCATCAGGTCAGCACCGACCCTAGTGTCTGTCTCTACCTATAGCTGTAGCCAAGTTTGCTCAAGTCTAAGATCCATGAAGATTGCTGTGGGATCACACAACTGTATACACCTCCAGATGCCTCAGTCTGTGCATGCACTGCATCTGCGTGTATGTGTTCTATCTTACTGCAACACAAGCGTGTATGTGTTCTATCTTACTGCAACTTTCTTACCTATGAGATGATTCAGGAATCAGCCGGACCTCTGACAGAGCCTTACTAGTAATACCTCAGCTTGTCTGGCAGGGGGCGATGAAGGCCGGAGAAAGGATCCACCTCTCAGGCCAGGGGTGGTCTGGATGATGTGGTGAGACCAGTCCAGAGAGGATTTGAAGTACAAGATTTTGCTGCTAGGACAGCTGAGCTGAATGCCACAATCACTTCCCAGTCCCCAATTCCTGCCACACCCCCAGAAAAGGCACTTCCTTAATCTCAGTGCCTCTCCTCTTCTGGCACCCAGCTCGGCTTTCCTGTCATTAGGACAAAATGACCAAAAGATAGGCCAGGTCAGAATTTCCAGACAGGTGGGCACAAAAGGAGATGATGATCCCTAAAGGGTCAAAAATCTGGTACAGCCACTCCAGGCAAGGCAGTCAATCTCCCAAACATCAGGAACACACCCTTGAAATGCCATTGCAGGCTTCACGCATTGTGGCTAGAGGTGGAAGGAAGGAGAGGGAGAGACGTACCTTCCTCCACTATTCCTCCCTTCCTGAGCCAGAAAAACTTAAGAAAGTGCAGTCAGGAAACCCCAAAGCTTACACATCTGCACCATCTGTCCAGGTCACGAAGCTCACACAGTGTGACAAGCTACCTGCTCCACTGATGCCAGAGTTGGCAGGGAGAGACCAGGTCACTCAGATGGGTGCCGAATTTGTTCATTCCCACCTAAAGCCTTCCAGCACACTGCTACTCAAAGTACGGTCCCGGGCCATTACATGGACCCTTGTTAAAAAGGTAGAATCCCAGCCCCTTCCCCTCCCCAGATCCACTGAATCACAATATGCACTTAATAAGACTTTCTGTCAATTTGCACACACATTAAGGTTTGGGGAGTGCTGCTCTAAATCACAGAGCTCAGTGATTCTTACTCCTGGACACACACATTAGAATCAGCTAGGAAGCATTTAAAAAAAATAATACCAGCACTCCCCCTTCCCTAGGAGGGGGCTTCCCAGAAGGCTAATTTAATCAGTCTGTGCTAGGAATCTACATTAAGGGTTTTTTTTGTAGTGTAGTATGTCATACTGAGGCTCAAAGGACCACTCCAAGGTCGCTCAGAGTTAAATGTCATGGCTGAGAGTACAGCCCTGATCTTTTAATCTCACATTCACTGTTTTACTCCATTATATTAATATTAGTGCATCTGCTCTCAGACTCCAGATAAGCAGGGAGTTTAGACTCAAAGGAACCAATCCTAAGGCCCCAAACTGTTTTTCTGCTCCTTCAAGACTAGTGGAGTCAACAGCTGGGTTGAAATCCTGATATCAGCCAGGTGCAGGGGTGCACACCTATAATCCCTTGGGAGGCTTGGGAGGCTGAGGCAGGAGGATCACAAGTTCAAGACCAGGCTGGACAACTGAGCAAGACCCTGTCTCAAGCTAAAAACACACAAAAGGGCTGGGTGTGTAACTCGGTGCTAACAAAGGCCGGGGTACAATCTTCAGTAGGCAAATGGAAAAAAAAGTGCCGATGTCCAGTTACTAGAGCTTTGACCTAGGCAAGTTGTATAACTACTTCATGTCTCCATTTTTTCCCTCTGTAAAATGGGGGTCATTGCCTCCAATTCTTACAGTACTGAGAGCATTAAATAAAATACCAGCCAAAACAAAAGCCCCTAGCACATAGAACCAAGCACTCAACAAATTCGTTCCCTCCCGACTCTGATTCTGTGGAGTCCCACAGAGAAAGACAAAGTAGAGAAAGGCTCGGCTAGCATTCCCCTGAGGTCTGGGCAATGGCGGCACCATAGCACTCAGAACCAGAGCCAAATGGCCCAGGGGCAGTGAGGTTAGGAGGTGCGGAAGTTTCAAAGAGCCTGCAATTGCTCCAAAAGACAAAGGAACGAGGGAGTTTGGAGGAGGACTACGGAACAAATTCTCCAGCAGCCCTCCTTAGCAGGAATCTAGAGAATGTAATGGGTTATTACTGAACAGGATCAGGGACACTGGCTCCTGACACTATACCATCTCATGAAACGCTGGGAAGCCCTGAGGCTCCCTCCAAGATAGGACAGTCAGGGACATATGATTAAGGGCTAAACTAAGGTACTTTGCCTTTGTCCCTCTAACCCATCCCAGCCTGCTCAAACTGGGCCAGGAGTGACCCCACCCCCACCTACAGTAGAGTCAATTCCCCTAAGGCTGGAGCCCAGGCTGCCCAGACAGACAACTGGCTTATGTGCCCAGCGGCAAGAGTGACACCGGGCAGGCTGCGGCAAGTGAGATAGGAATGTGCGGCTCCTGGCCCTAACCTCTGTGTCCAGATGTGCAGATTCCAGGGCACGGCTGCCAGAAGTTTCAACTGCTATATTCTGCATGCCATGCTCTGGTCAAAGCTAAGGTGATGTGCCAGGGCAGGCCAGTGGCAGCGTTCATCTGGAACACACTGGATTTCAAGGAGATTGAAGTCCCAAATCCCTCCCCGGGGAGGGGCCCAGCTGATCTGAGTCCTAAGAAGCAGGGGATAGGACATACTAGAAAGTTCTGGAGAAAAATTAAACCTAAGAGCCATACCCACAGGTTCCCTGGAGAGAGTGTCAAAGAAGGAATGGCTGAGCAGCAGCAAATGGCTTTAGAAGTCAATGAAAATATCCACACCTACATTTATATAGACCACATACCAGAGATTCTCTTAGCACAGAAGGGAATGATGCAAAAAAAAAAAAAATTGACTTCTAATTTTGACAAACACTATGTGAATGAATGTAGAGTTTACAGATCCATGAAAAAGGCAGCAACATCTCTCTCTAAAGAAATGCAATAAAACCCAAAGATGGTAAATTGGGGAAAAATCCTTTTTCCAATCAAGCCAGCTTCCGTCTCACTGCTTAAGTCATCTTAGTCCACTAGCTTCCTTCTCTAAATTGCGGTTTCCGTATCCATACAATGGGGATTAACAACTCTCCTGCCAACCTCTGTGGTTAAGGCTGCTGTGAGGATGTGATGGAGCCTTTTGCTATCTGTAAGGTGGCGGATGAAAGTTATCATTAGAGAGGACTAGTTTGGCCAGGACTAGGTGAACTTTGTAATCACATGGTCTTTAAGGCACACAGATCTGTGCTAGTTATAAAGTGAGAGCAGAAAGCTAGGGGGAAGAAAGAAGCAAGGAGACGGTAGGAGGTAAGACCTTCCCCAGCCAATGTCACCAGCCTCACCCCCAGGCCAGGTACCGCCCCCTCACACCATGATTGGGCAATCAAGTCCTTGTGCCTTGTTCTCACTTAATGAGCTGTGAGATGGCTGCCGGGGTTCAG